ATAACTTTTAATTACAAATCAAATAATCGAATAGAATAAGTAAAATTGTAGAATAATTTTTTTTATTTACCAATTGCTTCAATAAAATAATTTTTTTTGTTTTATATATGGTGATTTTTACTGCCTTTTCCTCCGCCCCCCCCCCCCTCCCTCCACAAAAAAAATATTTTTTTCTAACCTTTTCAGTATATCAAATGTTACAACGTACTAATATTTTTTGTAATTAATATTACTATATACTAATAGTTTTTTACAAATATTTTTTAGATGAAATATTTTGATGTTTACATTTCTTTAGAGGAAAATAACATTTCTATTCAAAACACTGAGAAATCATACCATCATTTGCTAACATTCTTTGAATTGCCCTTTGATCAAAACAATAACATTGTTAAGAGATCAAGACTTAAGAACATTTTAGCACATCTTAAATTGCGCTGGAATGCCTGTAAACGCGTAGAATCTTTATTTATTAAGAACAATGCTTAATGGCTTGATAATGAACTTAATTTAAATGATTTTACCCCAGTCAAAATAACCATACCGAATGTAAATTCTCCATCTTCTTTTAGCACTGGTTGACCACCATTTACTGACTTTCAAGAGTGTTCTTCAAGAACTAAGTATCAACGTGTTAGCAAACTTCAAAAATGTCACTCGTCAAGTAAGTTATTATTTGCTTCAAAAGATTCATTAAGATAAATAAAGAAAAACAGAGAAGGCAAAGCAATAAACAAAATATATTTAGATAAGAATATAGAGAAGTATGACCAAACCTGATTTCCAACTCCATAGAAATGCAAAAATTGAAAAACAATGCAATGTGTATCCTGCATATAACAATATATAACAACCTAAAATCATCAAAACCTTTGTGCTACCCTAACAACATAATTTTTACTGCAAGCATCCCACTGCAAAGTTTATGTAAACATACAGCTTAAAAACTTTGTTAAGTTCAAAATGATGTTTTATGTATGATAGAAAAGTGTGACCTAGTATCTCATCATTATAAAGCAGGTTTTGATGTCTCTACTAGTCAAAACATAAATAAACAAAAAATGTCTGTTGAAAGTCTTCGCAACTTAAAAAATAAAAAATCTAATGTTTCTAACTTGCCATATTCCAATTCAGATTGCAACTTATGTTAAAGAAATTCAAACTGGAGAAATCCGAAACCTTCTACTATATATTGCCAACCTTTAAGATTGAAATTTGAAAAATAAACAACTAATTTATTAATCATTGAAGAAACTACTTATCTAATGGTAAGTTTATTTCAGTCAAACATATCAAGTTACAATGATAGATGGCAAAGTTAATACTGCCTTATCGAATGTAATAAGCTCTATTCAATGTTACTGTATATGCGGATGTTTACCAAAAGACAGTAACAATATCGACTAAGTTACGAAACTTGCCTATTCACCGGACGAGCTTCAATATGGATTTTTTACACTTCATTCATGGATGAGATGCGTCTCATGGAAACTTCTGGAAGCTTCTGCATGCTTCTGGAAACTTCTGGATACTTCCTTTAATTATTAAAAAACTTCTGTGACGTTGACACGGACCAGACTTAAGAAAATGAAACAAACCAATTAAGTTGCACTTGTTTTGTCCGCTGCAAAATGGCACTTGTCAACGAAATTCTGTCTGTGTGCTGTCACCTGTCAGCTGATTGCTCATGTCATGGCATGCTACCGTGAAACTTCCGTGACCAGACTTAAGAAAATGAAACAAACCAAAAAAGTTGCACTTGTTTTGTCCGCTGCAAAATGGCACTTGTCAACGAAATTCTGTCTGTGTGCTGTCACCTGTCAGCTGATTGCTCATGTCATGGCATGCTATGACTCCAGACTCCTAAACTGTTTGCTGTGGTAGTATAGTTCGTTTCGTTTTTAAGACATGTAAAATTAGGAACACTTTTTAGCATTGTTCAATGTTAGTTGCAAATGTTTTGTCCAATACTGTATATATATTGTTTCAATGACATTTTTTGTAGTACTTGATAATTTATTTATTTAATACATAACACATAAAATACAGCTAATTACTAATTTTTAATTTATGTAATATTTCAGTCTGATTAGCTTAGACCGTCATCTGACGTAAAATAAAATACAATAACAATATCACAAAAAACGTAAAAAACCGTTTAGAAGACATTACAAAGATGAGCTAACCTAACGTGAAAAACTATTTTGAAATTACTATGATGTTTTTAAAAAGAGGTCGCCAGCTATTTGACGTAATTTTAACTCCGTTGTCTTTGTTCAAAAGCAGTGGGAAGTGTCTTATCTCGTATTTTGTTTGGGCATAATTAATCTCAAGTGACTCTCTTATTTTCCTTTCGTGGTAGTTAGAATTAAGTGCGATCGTTTTTAGGTGCATCCAATTAAATATACCGTGGAAGTCCTTGCAGTGTTCTGTGGCTCCGGAAACATGCCAATTGCCTATCATGCTGTTGAATTGCCCTTTGATCAAAACAATAACATTGTTAAGAGATCAAGACTTAAGAATATTTTAGCACATCTTAAATTGCGCTGGAATGCGCAATTAAAGTGTTTTTTTTAATTTTTTCTTTTTAATTTCTCCAATATAACCGCCGCAACATGAACACGCAAGCTTATACACACCCAGCTTGCTATTTGGTAATAGTTTGGATTTGTTATAACACAAAATTCTTTTTAAAGTTGGTAGTGTTGTAAATGTAACTTTAGCGCCGTATCTCTTGAGGTCTTTTCTTAATTTTGATCCTTTTCTTGGAATCTATGGGAGTTTTATTGTTATGTAACCATTTTCTGTTTGATCTGCAACTACACCAACAGGATTGTTTTTGATTTTGAGATAATTTTTTGTTATAAGCTGTAACTCTGATCTTTTATGGCCATTTTCGACAAACATATTTATTATAAATTGTATTTCATCTTAAAGGTATTTTGGGAAACAAATTTTTGAGGCTCTTGATATAAATTCTTTAAAGACTCCATATGTTATTGCAAGATTAATGTTTGAATTTGGTTTTATTTGTGTAATCGTAATTGCGGATTCTTGATGGATCATGAAATCATAGTGGAAATTGTTTGTATTTGTTACTGTTATATCTAAAAAGTTTAATTCCTTCATTTCGTTTTCTATTTCCGATGTGTATTGCGGGATCTTGTTGATTTAACAATTCCAAAAAACACATCTATAAGAAAAATATGAAAATCTTTATCAAAAAACCCCATAAAAAACTAAATTGTATACAAGAAAACAAAAAAATAATTAAACGAGGAGTTTTAAATCTTACTCAAATGCCGTTAGACTCTTCTACAGTCAAACTGTTAAACTTGGGACCAAATTTTGCACCTTCATATAAAAAAAATACCTTTTATGGAATTGTTAACCCTGATTGAGTCGTTTGCATTGTATTTGGAAAAGCAAAACAAAAATGCTGACGCAGAGAATATACGACAAATTATTAGTAAGCTCTTTAAAAAAGAAATTACCAGACAATCTCACAAAGCAAATAGATTCGCCTTAAATAATTTAAAAAAGAATAAAGATGCTCTAGAGTTTATCCGTTTGATAAAGGTTCAGAATTTGTTGTATTTAACGAATCAGATGCTTTTAAGAAATTAGATGATAAAATTAAAAAGTCGGTAATTATCAATTATGACCCTACACAAACCATCACAACAAAATTTCAGAAGTTTTTACGTAAGTTGAGGAAAGAAAACAAATTTGATAAGAAAACTTTTTTTCTATTAAAACTATTTGTGAAGAGCTAAGCGCTATGTAAAGATGGTCATGTAGGTCACATGCTTCAAAAGGTTTAGTAGAAAATTTTGATGTGATTCATGCAGCGCTATGTTTTACAGAGGATACAGAGGAAAAGTCTGATACTCGTCATGAAGCTGTATGTTTTTTAAATAAGATCACTAACCTAGAATTTGCATTCATAACTGTACTTCGGCATTACATGCTTATGAGGTTTAATGAAGTTAGCAAATTTTAGATTTAGAGTTAGATATGCATACAGCAAGTGGTATGTTACTTTCACTAATTGATTTTGTAAAAAACTTACGAAACGAATTTACGAGATTTGAAAAAACTTAGCTCGTTTATTGAAAAAGACTATTCTGATAAGAACAAAAGAAAAGTAATTAAAAATTGAGCAACGGAGAAAACCAAGTTGATACTTTAAACATATATGACAAGTTTCGAAGTTTTCACATGGCCTACTTAAATTACAGTAATTTAAGTAGGCCATGGTTTTAATTTAAGTAGTTTGGTAGTTAAGTAATTTGGTAGTAATTTAAGTAGGCCATGGTAAACAGTAATTTAAGTAGGCCATGGTTTTCATTATTGACAAACTTGCAACACAACTAACTACAAGAAGTGATGGTTACAGCCACATAAAAAAGGTTGGGTTTCTGTCAAAGCTGTAGTATCAACTATTAGTATCATCGAATTGCAAGTTAGCGCAAAAAAAGTTGTATGAGTGTATTCAAAGGATTTAGAAGGTAGTTTTTTGAAATAGAACAATTTGTATCATTATTAAAGTTGCCACCTTTTTTTTCTCATGAAAAAGATAAATCTGAAACTAAAAACACATTGGTTCCTCTGCATGTTTAATTGGTTACTTATGAAAAGGGACCTCCTTAAAAATAGCCCCGGGCCCCGAAAAGTCTTAATCCGCCACTGCGAGTTGCTAAACCATTTAGTGCGCTATCTGATTCAGCCGTATTAGCCACTACTTATTACAATTTAAGAATGAGTTAACAAACAAGCTGTTATAAATGCTACAGAAGAATTCACCACAGATGGACTTAGTATGTCCTTCTTCAACAGAGAATTTACCTTAAAATATTGCCAAGTTTTAATAACTATTTTTGAATATATTCTGTTTGCTATTTCTAGCCGAATTATATCAAATTCAAATTATAATTTTACTCTTAAGTATCTAAAATAATAATAAAAAAAACAAACTATATACAGTAACAAGTCTTATATTCATTCATAAAAATATATTTTTTACGAGTACAACTACAACACAGTTGAAATTAAAATGCTTGTACTGACTCCATTACTATCTATGACGTTACGTAAATGACAAGTCATTTAGATAAAATCCCCAAAGACTTACGAACACATTCGTCTGCTATTCTATTAAATTTTTCTCGATCGTCGCGCCATATTTTCTAAATTAAGTTGATATTATTATACAGGTTAAAACTATAAATAATTTTTATTTCAGAAGTAAAAAAGACTATTTGTTAACAATGTTGTTTTATCTCATTAAAAACACTATTTTTATTATCAAGTAATAAATAACATTGAAAAGTCACTAAAAATTATATAATGCGTCTATCTACAAAAAATATTTTAAATCGATCTATGGAGACACTATAGAAAAATTGGCAACTTACAAAAAGAAAAAAAAATTTAATTGAATAAAGTATATAACACATACCGACGCATCGACGTTAGCAGGACTTTCATCATTCGGTTCTAGATATTACATAATTTTAAAACTACACAAGATCTTTTAACAATTGAAGAACTTTGAAGCTTCACAGAAATTAATAAGCTTCACACAAATTTAGTAAATCATTTTGAAAAAAAAGTTTTTCAAAATGAAAATTTATGAAAGAACTAAAACCCAAAAAATTGTTAAAAAAAAATAAAAACTAATTAAAAAAACACCTGCAAGCAGGCTAACAACAGAAAGAAGAATTTTTTCAACAGATTGAACAGGAGACCATCTTTCAGCACTTGTTTCATACCCCATTGGATCATCTCCTGGTGCATGAAGTATGGAGATGCAAACCCGTCCATCAGTGTAAACTGCAAAATAATGTTTTTTACTCAAGTATAACACTGTTATAGATTTAGAAACCAATCAAAAAGATAAACATACTATTAGGATGGAACATTTCACTTTGAAATCTCATTTTTGGTGGACTAAGAGGGTAGTCATGCGGAAATATCAGTTTTGCTACAAAGACTCCACCAGAAAATGGGGTTCCGTCTGGTCCTCTAAACATAAATCTTTAATTTAATATTCTTACACTTTAAGCAATTCAAGCATAAAAGTTACATAAAAACTTGTCAACTATTTTTTAACCCTTTATTCCCTAGTGATACCATATAGTGTCATTGACTTTGAATAGCAAAAAAAACTATTTTTTAAAAGGTAAAATGAATAAAGAAGAATATAATAAAGAATATAATAAAAAAGAATGTAAAACTATTAAAAAATTTAAAAAACATTCACAAATTATTATTTTTTCCTTACTCAGACTCTGAGGGACAAGTAAATAGGATTGTTGACAATGTATGTATCATAATAAAAAAAATTCAATGAATATCATTTGTGATTAATGCCAACATGTGACATTTAAAGCTCATATTATCATATGAGTTGTAAATATTCTTATAATAAATCAAATAAATCAAAAACGCACAATGCCGACATTTTTCTGCCCACCTGTAAAAATTAGAGAAATAGAAACCTAACTTGAGTGATTTCTTGGTTTCAAGCTCTACCTTATTAATGCCTCCCACTCAAAAAAATTTTCTTCATTTGCAGGACCTAAAATGTTGTTATAAATAGAAATTTAAATTGCAATAATTGAAATATTGGGAAAAAACTTATTTAACAGTTTAGAAAATTTGAAACAGCCATTATATAAACAATATAAAATATAAATCAAGTAATAATATAAAATAAAGTATAGTAGAATAATAAATAACAATATAGAATAATAAAGAATAATAGAGAGGAAACAATAACTACTTTTTCATATCAATTTAATTTACTTTTTAAATGAGTTTTAATAATATAAAACAATAAATGATGGTTCTGAAACTTCTGTGAACAAATTAATATGTGAACTACAACAAATTATGAAATGAAAAAGAAATGAAGTACATTAGAATAAAGGAGAATTATTTTTCGAACAAAGCATATTTTGACAGTTGTCAAGACAAAAATAAAGATTATTAGAAAAATATTTAAAAATAAACAAGACAGACAATGCACTTAAACAGTACTTACAAAAATAATTTTTTTTTTTTAATAAACACTAATATGAAAGATATACAACAAATATATAACCAAACAAAAAAATTTTAAAACAAAAATAGATGCAAAATAAAAAGTATGCTAACAACAATGGAAGGCCTCAAAATGGAAAAAAAAAAACATTAATGCTGTGTAAACATAATTTGTGTAATGATTAAGTAATAAACATCTCCTCAGAGTCACATCTATTATTACTGGCATTTCTATGACGATTACTGGTGATTTGATGAGGATCAGCACTAATAACTAGTTTATCCCAAGCATAAGTGGTGATGATAAGCATCATTGCCACTTATGCTTTACCCTGCAACTTATGCCTATGCCATACAGCAGTAAAAAAGGACTCACTAAAAATAGCCAAAACCCAACCATACCCAAATTTGTAAAACACTAATATTTTTTTGAGATGATATGATATAAAAAGTGTAGGTCTACTGTACAATATAAATAAAAATAACTAAATAAATCACTAACTATACTACCAGTAGAAAACACCAAGCACAATAAATTAAAATTCTAATAAAAACACCAGAACAAAACTAAAGCAACTTAAGTATGCAAACAGAAAATACTAATAAATTACACCCTTAGACTATTTAAACCAAATAGGTGCTTCCAGCATAAACAAACCAAAAAAAAATAAAATGGCAATATACCCTATTAAAAACCTTTTTAAAATTAAATAAAACACAATAGAGTCTTCAAAAAATGCTGTCATGGATACCTCATTCAAATTTCGTTGACCAATCTAAAGTGTAAGAAAATGAACAACCCGTGCAACTTAAAATCATCACTAAAAATCAACTAATATATGATTATAATTTTTTGTTCCTTCAATAAAAGTTCCTTAATTTACTACTGATCCTAGTTCTAGTCGGTTTTGATGTATATTAACTATAAATAGTTGTCAAAACACAATATTTCTATCAATATTCACAAAAAATACTAGAATTCCGATCAAGAAGAAGCTTATAATTAAGAAAAATTGTCAATAAACGATCAGAACAGATCATATTGTTAAACTATAATGTTCATTCCAACTAAAAACATATTAATATAAAATCTTATTCAAATTTGGACAAGCGATTGTGATTTTAAAAGGATCATTTTAAAAAAAAAAGATTCTTCGGGCTGGGTTTTTTCACTGTAAACATTGATATTTTATGATGCCGCAAAATTTATCATGACTGGACTGGCTTGGTGTAGTTCAGAGATAAATCTTTTATACTGGTTACTAACAACACAAGACTCTATATATATATATATAAGACTATATATATATATATATATATATATATATATATATATATATATATATATATATATATATATATATATATATATATATATATATATATATAATTAGAGTTTATATATATATATATATATATATATATATATATATATATATATATATATATATATATATATATATATATATATAATTAGAGTTTATATATATATATATATATATATATATATATATATATATATATATATATATATATATATACATATAAGAGCAATTCTTTTAAACTAGCAGCTTTCGACATGTTTTGTTGATGGACGTCTTTTCGTTTTTGTTTTTTTATAGTCTCAAAATTACCTTTAATTCTGACTTTAGAGAAAACTTTATTTTTGAAAAATTTTTTTGCCGCTTCGTACATCGTTTTTATATCACGACTTATATTATTGTTATACCACCCAAAAAAAAATTTTAACCACTCATTTGGCTAAAATATATCTGGTCTGATTACAGTATTTAGATAGTCTTATTACAATATTTTTAAAAATATTATTTATCCACTGATTTTCATATTATTACTATTCAAGGGATAATCAAGGATACTAATCAAGGGATTTTTATGTTATTACCTTACATTCATTACTCAGCTTTGTTTTAATTTTTTTATAAGCACAATTTTCGTCTTTTATTAATATTCAGAGAATTTCTTTAATCTTTCACTACATTTATGCCGGTTACATTTTTAATGGTTTTTGTGCGACGTTTTCTTCGCTATATTATTTTATTTTTCTAATGATTTTGGTGTTGCATATTTTCTTACACTTTTGATTGGTTAACATATTTCGATTGAGGTATCTATAACAGCGTTAGAGTTTATTGAAGACTATTGTTGTTTTGTTGATTTTGTAAAAAAATTTCAATAAGGTATATTGCTTTATGTCTTAAAAAGAAATTCATTAGTATTTTTGTGTTTCTATTAGAATTTTAATTTATTGTGTTTTCATGTTTTCTTTTGGTGGTATGGTTATTTTTATTTATGTTGTATAGTAGATCTACACCTTTAATATCATATCATCAAAAAAATATTGGTGTTGTACAAATTTGGGGATGTTTGGGTTTTGGTTATTTGTAGTGAGTCCTTTTTTACTGCAGTACGGATTAGATGTAAGTCGCGGGGCAGGGTTGCATGGTTTTAACCAAATGGTTTAAACCATGGTTTAAACCAATTAAAAAAATGTTGGTTTAAACCAAACTAATGTTTTTTTAAAAAGATTTGAACTTAAAACAGGAAACTAAGACAGGGTTATGCTCACAGATATAACTAATCTTCAATATAGATATATTTTTTTTAAATCCATGATTTTTTTTTTTTTTTTAAATTTATCAATATGCTTCATCCAGGATACACTCTACCTAATAGAACTGAAATTAGAGGAGAAATATTAGATAGGGTTTACACAGAAGAAATTGAAAAATGTAATGTATTGAATGGGAAAATTGTAGCCATGTCTTTAGATGGCTGGAGTAATGTACATAATAAACCTTTAGTTTGTATCTCTGTAATTACAGATAAATTTAACATTTTAGTAGAAACAATCAACAATTCTGGTCATTCACATACTGGTGAATATCTTACACAATAAGCAAGAGAACCAATAGATTTTGTAAGACGTAAACTTGGATGCACAGTAAAAAGCTTTGTGACTGACAATGCAGCTAATGTGAAATCAATGAGACAAGTATTGTCATCTGAAAAAGATATTATCATAACTTATGGGTGTGCTGCTCATATGCTGAATCTTTTAGCAAAAGATCTTAACATTGAAAATGTGAGCAAGCATGTTACACAAATAATAAAATATATAAGAAATAGTCATCAAGCTGAAGCAATTTATAAATTAAGCAGAGGAACAAAATTGCCACTTCCTACTGAAACTCGCTGGAATTCTGTATGTGATTCACTTGAAAAATATGTCAACAACTGGAGCATTATTTTTAGAATGTTTGAAAAAAATAAAGAATTGGATCCTGTGATTGGTAAAAAAGTAAGTGATATACAGATAAAGCAAAACACAGAGATTTATTAAAAATATTGAAACCAATTGCAGTAGCTCTAGATAAGTTGCAAAGAGATCAAACAAAAAATAAGTGACTCTTGAAATTTTTAAAGATTTGATGAACAGTTTATCATTTTTATCAAACAAAACAAAAAAAAATTGAATCTAGATACCTTCAGACTGTCAGTGATGCTTATTTCTTGGCAAACACACTAGATCCTAGATATTTTGGATCTAATCTTTCTGAAAATGAAAATGAAACTGCCATGAATTTCGCAGATAAAAAGTTCAAGAATTTGTTACCAATATTATTTAAATTAAAAGCCAAATCTACTATAACATAATGGAAATTGAAGGTTTATTAAATGCACCAGCTTCTAGTGCTGGAATCAAAAGAATTTTTCTAACTTTTGGTCTTGTTCATTCTAAGTTAAGAAACCAATTGGGGATAGAAAAAGCAGCAAAACTTGTATTTATATATAGAACATTAAACAATGATATATTAAATAATTTTGATGAAATATAACAATAATATTGAAAAAGAATTTATTTTTACTTACAGTTTACTTAAATAAAATATGTTATGCTTTTTTAATTTAAAAGGATAACTAAATACAGCATTTTTTAGCAAAAACCTAATTTTTTTAAAAAAACCTATGGTTTTTTTTTTTTTTTTTTTTTAAAAAAAACCTATGGTTTTTGGTTTTTTTCAAAACAACTGATTTTTTTGCAACCCTGTTGCGGGCTAAAGCATAAGTGGCGATGACGTTTGTCTGACGGGATAAACTAGTTATTAGTGCTGATCCTCATCGAAACGTCTGTAGACGCAAACGTCAATAGACGCAACTCTGATGAGATGTTTATTACTTAATCACTACACTAATTATGTTTACACATCAGCATTTTTTTTTCCATTCTGAGGCCTTACATTGTTGCATGCCTTCTTTTTATTTTGTAATATATTTTTTGTTTTATAAGTTTTTGTTTGGTGATATATTTGTTGTATATCTTCATTCATTTTAGTGTTTATAAAAAAGATTTATTTTTTATTATTGTAAGTACTGTTTGGGTGGATTGCCTGTTATTTATTTTTAAATATTCTTCTATTAATCTTTATTTTTGTCTTGACAACTGTCAAAATATGCTTTGTTCAAAAAATATTTCTTCTTTATTCTAATGTACTTCATTTTTTCCCTCAGGCTTTCACTGCTCGTGTGTGATCATTCTGTGAATTTATATGCCAAAGTTTTTAAATAATTGATGGTTCTGAAACTTCTGTGAACAAATTATTATGTGAGCTAGGACTAACAATTATGTTAGCTATAAAAAATTATTATGTAAGTTTGAACAAATTGTTTTTTTAAAGTAAAAAAAATCATTTCTGTTAGTTAAAACAAAATACTAATATATGTAAAAAAGCCTAGTGGTTAACTAAAGTGGTTAAAAATTTAAGTTAAAAATTTTGATAAATAAATTTATTTATCGATGTTAATTAAAAGAAATTTTTACCTGCCAAAATTCCATCAGAGGGGTTAATTGTTAGTTCTAAAATAAATTTTACAATTTACTATCATTTCTATATTATTTATTATTACTGTATTTATTATTAGAATTGTTATTAATATAAATTTATTAGCTTTTCATAATTTTTTCATTACTTTAAAAGAAATGTCTTTAAAAAAAAACTTACGCCTGTATTCAGCCATTAGTCGTTTTAGAGCAGCTCCTGCCATACTATTTATTTATATATACTTTTTTTGTGTGTGTGTAATTATAAATTATAACTAAACCTTTAGTTTATACTTTCATCTATAAACAGAAATTTTATATCATCAAATTTTTAAATTTCATATTAGTTATATAATTACTCTTTTAATATATATAAAAAAGTTTTATAATTATAAAAGTTTTATAATTATAAAATTGTGGTAAAAAAAGTTTTACAGCAAATACCAAAAATAAAAAAACATAACAGGTATCAATGACAAGATAAAGCATAGAATACAAGACAACAAGTATCAATGATTAAGATAAAGCATAGAACACAAAAATAACAAGAACAAATGACCAAGATAAAGCTTAAAATGTAAAACATGCAAAGCCATAAAGGTAACACAAAAACCATAAAACTCCATCTTTCTAATTATTTCATTATAAAATTTGCTTGAACATAATTATAAAATATTTTTCATATTTTGTAAAACAAAATGTAAATTTTTTTTTAATTTTGAAAAAAACAAACAAGAAAATTAAAATACTATTTAAAAAAAAAATGTTTTAATCAGGTATTTGATAAATAAATTATTACATACATTTTGTATATATGATTACTTATATTTATAATATATTTGATAGATTTCTCTCTTTTTTTAAAAATATTTCTAAAAACAATTTTAATTTTAATGAACTATTGTAAGAATAAATCTACTCAATATAATTATAATAAAAATTCTCTTAAAATAATAGTTTTATTAAATCTACCATAGCCATACTATTATAATATGAATAATTTCATAAACTTTTAGTGGAAATTAAATCTATAATGCAGTAGTTTGGCCGTCAATTTTTTTTTGATTTTCAATAATAACAATTGGATCATTTGAAGAATAGAAACAGGCATCTTTAAAATCACTAGTAGAAGAGTGGTTTGGTAAGCCATATGTAACCTTTATATCTGAATTTGTAATCAAAGCATTTGTTTCAAAATTTTTATTCTGGATTGATTCAGAAAATTGTTCTGTCACATCACCATCATCCTCATCATTATTTTCAACAGCTTCAATATGTGCAGGAATCAAGCCTGCTTTTATAAATTGCGCTTTTATGTATTCGCACGAAAAGTTTGTAAAGCCAAGAGTAACAGAAATTTCAGAAAGTTCAGATTGAAGAGATTTCATGTCTTTCAGTGCTGAGTAATCTAGTTGGCTCGAGTTAGACATATCCAACTTTAATGACTTTATATATTTCTGATTTCTAATGATAGAATAAATATTTTCACCTAAAGACTCCACACCTGGATATGTTAAATTAGAGTTATATAGTAGTGTTACGGATCTTTTTAATGAACTATTTTTTACGACATGCCGTGGTTTAGCCTCCTTATATAAAATTATGAGCAATGAAACTGCTGTTCCAGATAAAAGACCGGCTTCTAAATAATAAAAGCTTGCACCAAATGCAACAAAGTATGGTAGTAAATCCAACTTATTTAGTTTCCAAATACTTCTTGGCACATGGGGTTCAATCATCAATATTACTGCCATGATAATCATTGCTGCTAATGCAGACTTAGGTATAAAATAAAACACAGGTGTTAAAAACTCCATTGCAAGTAGAACTACAAGACTGGAAAATACACCTGAAATACAAAATAAATAACAAAATATAGAAATAATGTTCTTAGTTAAAAAAAACAACATAAAAAAGGCTTCAACAATTTATCATTTTAAATAATAAAAAAATGTAATACTAAAAATATTTGATAATTATAAATCAAAAAATAGTTTTTTTTTTAACTCACTAATTGTTAATTTGCAATGTAAAGTTATATTTAAAACATAAAGATAAACTAGGGTTTTAGTATATCAAAAGGCAGGTTGGAGCTTTGGAAGGTAATTTTTATGTATAAATAAAATAAAAAAAAATGGTATTGCAGTTTTTATATTCTATTTGAGATTTCTTGTTAAAACAATTTTTAGTTAGAAGCTTATTATGTGTTTATTATTATAAACATATAAGAGATAAATAGAAACATTTATATGGCTAATTTTTGTGAGCCTTTGAGTATATTAAGTAAATTTAATAGTTGAGTAACTGTAAGTTAGTGTAGTAAGTTAACTGGTTGTTTTAACTTAGTTTAAAGGTAAATTTACTGAAACAAATTATAAATTAGATAATTATTACATTTTTAAAGTCCTGTATTAGGGCTTTTAAATAGCTCTATAGTATATTTTAATACTCTCTACAAAATTGATACAAATATAAAAGTTCCTGCAACCTCTTATATCTGTATCAAACTTTTGTTATTTTACATCACTGTGATTTCGTAATTTGTGTTTTTTGTTGTAAAATTTTTTCTTTTCTAATTTAGTATTTTTTTGCCATTCTTAAAAGTAATGTTTTTGTCTAAGTTTTTTATTAGGGGTCATAAAGTATGTCACGCCTAATTTATCATTTGAATAGAAGTATAATCTTTGCTCTCTTGAGCAGAGATTTTATTCAACATAAACTGCTTTTGAATTTAAATTATTTTAAATCTCTGCATGGAAGCAAATATTATTTTAAAGTTATATTTAATTTGATTTACTGAATGGATAAAGTACATCATATGTTATCCAAATTTTATCAAATTTTAAGTCTTTTGATTACTAAAATGTATCAAAGACTCTTTAAATATATACCTTTAGCAGTCATAAAAAGTGAACCTAAACAACATTTAGTTTTTTGAATACTTTTAACGCAATATCTTTTTTATTTGTAAAACAGTACTATCTATTGCATTTTCTCTTGTTTATGTTTCCATATTTTAAATGTACTTTTAGATAAAGTATTAGAAATAAGAATTTTTAATTAATTTTAAATTACCTAACACAACAATAAATTTGCCACTGCCAATGACATAACTGTTTACAATTAATTTAGTATCAATATGCTTGCTAACTATCAATTGTATAGTGAAATTCATTAAATAAATAATATTAAAAAAACATTAAATTTTACAATTTTTTTAGACCTTAGTATAATATAAAAGAATTAAAACTATAAAGATATTCTGAAAGTAAACTTAAAACTCAGAACAATAAGTTTATGTTTTGCATATTCACATCATGTTAATTCGTATTATTCATGTGTCAATGTATTAATTATTGCTTATTCCAAACAATGATTAATACATTAAATCTTTTATAGTGCATTGCTTTAACTAAAAAATTTAAACATCAGTAAGTCTATTGGTCAACATTATAATATTGTATTAAAAAAAAAAGGAAAGCTGTTTTAAAAAAGAAAAATTCATTAAATTGATACAAATGCTTAAAAAACACAACATGCATTTAATTTTTATCATAGGATTTTTTTTTAAAAGGTTGGTTGATTAAAAAGGTCCTTGATTATATAAATGTAATAAAAAATTGTTAATGGGTAATTCCATGTGACCCTACATCTTAGATTTTGCTGACTTTTATACATTTGAGAGTACTTACTAAAAAGATTAACCATTTTACTTTAGCAGATATTGGCTAAGCCCCACTTGTTCCCTCAGAATCCCATTGTTTATTTAGAGATTTCAAGTCACATAATTGAAAAAATATTTGATCTTTTTACTTCTAGGATTAACTCTTACTTCTGATCTTTCTTGGAAACCTTATATCAAATCCGTTGCAAAATTAGCATCTGCTAAAGTTGCTTCTCTTTATCGAGCTCGTCACTTTCTTACTCTGGATTCTATTCTCTATCTCTATAAATCTCAAATCCGGCCTTGTATGGAATACTGTTGCCATATCTGGGGCGGATCTTCTAATGATGCCCTTTCTCTTTTAGACAAGGTGCAAAAACGCATTGTAAACATAGTTGGACCTGCTCTTGCAGCCAACCTTCAGCCTCTGTCACATCGTCGTAATGTTGCTTCTCTTTCTCTTTTCTACAAATACTATAATGGGCATGCTCTAAAGAGCTAGTGTCTCTTGTGCCATCTATTAAAATTCATTTTCGTGTTACTCGTCATTCAATTAAGTCTCATCCTTTTTCTGTTACTGTTCCTAAGTGCTCCAAAAACTCTTATTCGTCTAGTTTTTTTCCTCGAACATCAGTTCTTTGGAATTCGCTTCCTTCATCTTGCTTTCCTGATTCATATAATTTGCAATATTTTAAGTCATCTGTCAATCGTTATCTTGCTCTACAATCTTCATCTTTTCTCTTCCAGTAACTTCCAACACTAATTAGTGGTTGCTTGCAACCTTGTTGGAAGCGAAGATAATTAAAAAAAAAAAAAAAACTTAAAAATTATTAGCTCTAATGATAATAAGGAGCTCTTATTAACATAAGCTCATAACTTGAACATTTAAAAATAAAATTTACAATTTAATTTGTAATATAATTTACCTGCAAAAGGAGTTTCAGCACCACACATTGCATTTACAGCTGAACGTGAAAAACTTGCACATACAGGCCATGCTCCAAAAAAGGAACCAATAGAATTTGAAAGGCCCAAAGCAATCAACTCCTGAGTTGAATCAATTTTGTAATTAAATTTACGAGCAAATGATTTTCCAATGGAAATTTGAAATATAAACTGAACAATTGGTAGCACTATAATAGATGTCCCAAAACTATCAAGAAAGTCAGATGCAGTAACTGTCTTGTTGTTAATATCAACAGATTGAAATGGTATCTAAATAATTGTAAATGATAATTAGTTAATAGTCAAATGTCTTTACAGTAAGAAAAAACTCTTTTTACCCCTCTCTTTTCCTATATATATATATATATATATATATATATATATATATATATATATATATATATATATATATATATATATATATATATATATATATATATATATATATATATATATATATATATATATATATATATATATATATTACAGTATAATAGTAAATCTATGTAACAAAGTTAATATTTTAAATTGAATATAATATTTAGATGACTTAGGTAATACCTGAACACGTGGAAGTCCAGAAGGAATTTTTTTGCCAAGAGAAAATTTATGCGAAATTTTTTTTAAATGGAATATATACACAACAGTCGTAGCACAGAGACAAAGAAGAGCCATACGAGATGCACAAAAAAACCATATTATCTTTTTTAATAAAGCTTTAACATTAATGTAGCTTTTTGAATTTGAAAATAGATTCCTCTTAGACAACCACATAAAAAAGAAAAGAAACAAAATAGAAGATAAGCCTAAACTTAAATCCCAAATATTTGTTAATTTTATTTTTTTGAATATATGTGCTATAATTAAAAAAGCATTTGAAGGAGCATCCTTAATTCCAAACAAACTAGAAAGTTGTGTGATGACAGCTATAATAGATGTAGCAGATACAAAGGCACTGATCACATGATGTGGAAAAAACTTGGTCACAAATGCCAGTCTAAAAATTGCCATGATAACCAAAGCAAATCCAGTAAGTAGTCCAAGAAAAGAAGCCCCAATTGGATGAAAAGTTGGATTAAATCTTGTTGAAAATAATGCCATTGTCACTGTTGGTCCTATATTAATATGCCGTGATGTGCCAAAGATACAATAAATAATACCAGGAGTAAAAGATGCATACAAACCATACTCAGAAGAAAGATTTGCTAAGTTTGCAAATGCCATACTTTGTGGAATAACCATTACTCCTACTGTTATTCCAGCAACAATATCTTTTCTTAATTTTTGAAGGTTATATTGTGGAAGCCATATCAGAATGGGGAAAAAACTTTTTATCCACTTTAACCAGCTGATTTGACAAACTTTGTTAAATATGTTCATACTATAAGCCAAGTTAAATGCAATTCCCTAAAGTAACTAAATTCAATATGCTTTTAATGATTAATGATCACTGTGTTTTATAAGTGAATACTTTTTTTAATTATTGATTTTTTTTAACAGTCATATAAACACATAGAAGTGTTAACTTCTCACAATTATTATGACTCTTGCCAAATATTTATAAATGTTTACACAAGAACTTTAGTAAGTAATTCATAAATGTTTATCTAAGATTTAAAATACTATTCAAAATTTTCATTAATTTTGATAGTTACCGCGCAATAATGTCTTAGATCACAATTTCAAACCATTATGATTAAAAAACCCAAATGTGACAAATCTTCTCAACTTTAATAATAATGACTTTAAAATGTCACTATTAAATTTTAACTTCTTAAGTGCAGAAATTTCTTTACTTTTTATTTCAACTTTTTATGTATACACTATGTGTAAACTATAAAATAATATCTAATAATATTAGTAATAATAAAGCAATAATAATAAAGCATTAATATTATCATAATTATTATATAAAATATTAGTCAAAAAAGTATTATGAAAAATATTAGTGAAAGTAACATAAAATATGCGCGTATACGATTTACGTCGATTTATGGCAACGATTTTGACGTAAATTAATTATTTTGTAATCCATTATTTGCTAAATGCGTTTTCTCATAATGGATTTTGACAACGATTAACATACTATTTAAAGTTGCACAACTTAATATATAGTAAATGGAAAAATCAGAAATAGAAAACGGAAATATCAATTTTTAAAATTGACATTTCTATTGTGAACTTTTATTACAGAAAAAATTTCAGAATAGAGAATAGAAAATGGAATTAACTTAAAATTTTTATTTTTGTGACATTTGCGCGATTTGCTGATGGGCTCTTCATTTGACTATTTTATCATGGTTAGCGGTAAGCAAAAGATAGTATGACCCAAAATAAGATATTGAGATCTTAAAAAAGCGCAGACCAATGTTTCGACATTGACTAAGAGTTAACTAAATTAGTTAAAGTTCATTTTTGTGTTGTTCTTTTTAAAACATCTAAATGGCAAACGGTCACTAGTGGCGTTGCCTCAAGGCTCGGTCTTGGGCCTATTGCTCTTCGTAATCTTTATTAATGACCTGCCAGACTGAATTAGTCATCACATGAAACTGTATGCTGACGACAGTAAAATTATTGGCATAATTAAAAACGAGTCGGATACCATCACTCTCCAAGTCGACATTGACAGAGCAGTGACAGAGATACCATACTCTCTAAGTCGACATTGACGGATACCATCACTCTCCAAGTCGACATTGACAGAGCAGTCGGATACCATCACTCTCAAAGTCGACATTAACAGGTAACATATTTGTCTTATGCATTTCAACATTGAGAAATGCAAAGTAATGAATGTTAGCCGCACTTGTAACAAGTTGACGCACATTTACTCAATGGCCAACGTTGACGGCACGCGTTATCCACTCAAAATACAAAAAAACTGTAGTCGAACGAGACCTTGGTGTGATGGTCTCCCAAGACTTTAAAGTGAGAACACAAGTAGAGTCAGCTGCATCAATTGCAAATAGAATGCTAGAGCGACTCAAAAAAATATTTTTGGAGTCGCAACTTTTATTTATGGCGCTATATTATTTATATTTGCCCCCACCTCGAGTTTGCTGTTAAAGCCGCATTTGCATTTTTGGTCGCCGCATCTATCTGCGAACAAGTTGATCATCGAGCAACAAAAACAATATCATCTATTAAACACCTGTCCTATAAAAATCGACTTCAACAACTCGGTCTAACAACGCTTTATGAACGCCGTAAAAAAGTAGACCTAATCGAACAATTTAAAATCACGCGTCAACTCGAACTTGTCAGTTTTTTCGTTCCACAAAAACTTTGAAACAGTAAAGCCAAGTATATTTTGAGAGAGCATAATCAAAAACTAGAACGCCAGCTTGTACGAAATTGTGAAGAACGACAAAACTCTTTTTCAAATAGAGTTGTTGTCCTATGTAATGCGCTTTCCCAAGCAGTAGTGAACGCTCCATCTATCCATGCTTTCAAAAACAGTATAACAAAGTAACTTTTAGAGACGCTATTGCTGCTTTGTCTGTAGCTTCTGTGTTTTTTATTTTCTTCAGCATAGAGGGGCCTGGTATAGCACCTCTTCATCAAACTTTAAACAGATTTATTGTATTTGTTTTTTTTGATCGCTGAATAATAATAATAATAATAATAATAATAATAAAAATATGCCGAAGCAATTGGCTGGGAGTGCAAGATATTGTTTACCACCACCAGAAGAGCGATGTATCATCATATTTGATTCACATATTATTATATCTAATTTTTATGTAAACCCAAAACTTTTTATTGATTATAGATTTTTATTTACAATATTTATTTAAAAACACTTGTTTAATACTTTAATTCACTGGTTTTTAAAACTAGTATTTGTAAATAAGGTATGGTCGGGTGGTATCGGACACATGTTTGGAGGGTGGTTACAGACAATTTAACCTGTTTACATATTTAAAATGAGCAGCTTTTTATATATAAATTAGGGGTGTGGAGTCGTAAAAAAAAAAGTACCAACTCCGACTCCAATCGTTGAAATTTTTTAGAGTACGACTCCGACTCCGAAGCAAAATTTTTATAATTGAAAAATTAATTGAAGATTAAATATTTTGCACATGCACGTGAAATACCGAGAAGTTTTACTGTTGGAGTCGGAGTAGCGATTTTGTTTAGTGACTCCGATTCCGTTAAAAATGTTGCGACTCCGACTCCACGACTCCGACTATCACTCCACAGCTCTGATATAAATATTGATAAATTTAATATAATACGCAAACCTATAATTCCAATAAAAATGATTTGAAAAAAGTGTTTTTAAATTGTTTATTTTCATTAGTAAAAAGCTAACGTTTATATTTCTAAATTATGACATTTTCATTCCCATTCCTCAAATATCAGAGGCAATTTTTAAAGGCGATTTTTTTTAAATGTGTGAACAGTCCAATGCTAAATAATTATACATGATATATGTGTCACACTAGTAAAAAATCATTAAAATCATGGTTAAACTATGTGTCCAGATTGCCTTCCAATAGAAGGAAAAGTATATTCTCTAAAAGATAACCTTCCAAGAAAAAAATGGGCAATGTTTATAACAAAAGTAAAAGAGGGTGGTTTTTTTTGCTGTTTTTAAGATTGGCTTTTCAAAATAATTATTCTATATATACAAAACAAAGAGGGAAATAAAATTATCATTGGTGACAAGTTATCATCACACTTTTCTGAAAAAGTGCTGAATGCCTGCGAAGAGTATGACGTCGCATTCATCTGTGAAGAGTGCGATAATAAGATTACCATAGTCAAATGTCGACAGCCAAGCATTAAAAATACATCCAGTATAGTAATAGACATGCTAAAAGATATGCAAAATGACAATTGTAAAATAAAATCTCAAAAAATTTCCAAACATAAACGATGTAAAGGATTGCCAGGAAAAAGAATTAGTGCAAAAGTTATCTTGTTTTAAATACCTCCTGCTAGTCTGAGAAAGGTGAGAATAAAAAAAAATCAAAATTTGTATCATAAAAAACATTAGAGAATGTAACTGCTTCTTTTGACAATATAGGAGAGATGGCTGGTCCTAGTAAAGAATATTTTGCACCCCCAAATAATAAAGTAAGATTACCATCATTCAATAGTTTTGCTAAAAGTCTTTATAGAAGCTCAGAAACTTTTAAACTAAAATATGTTAAAATATGTTGGTAAAAAAATGAATTCTGAAACTCGCACTCTATTGTTTTCATAGAAGATTTTAAATGCAGCATCTATTGGGGCAATTTTTGCAAAAAAAAAAATGACACAGTGGTTTTATAAGAAAAGATACGACAGTTATTTTATAAGAAAGTGATTTTATAAGAAAAGATACGACAGTGATTTTATAAGAAAAGATAGACAATCTAAATAAAATTAAAAAAAACATAACAAAAAAAAAAAGTTGAGCAAGCTAATTTTATGAATTTTTTTTTTTTTTATTTGTTTGATAAAATTCAAACATTTCAATTTAAGACTAAACCTGTTAATTGTCACATTTTTCAGTTGTTTTAAATATATATTGTTTTTATTTGGATTTTCTTTTTTTTTAATATTATCTGGAATTATATTCCATAAATAATGTTCGTAAAAAAATTTTGCTTATTTTAGATGCTTATTCAGTCTAAAGGAAATGGTGATAGACGGTTTTAATAAAGTTCAAAAAACGTGTAATGGAAATTTTATTTTAAATGCTTTTTTTTGAGAAGTTAGAATTATAGAGTTCTATTTCTATTTTGTAATGTAGATTGAATGTTACAAAATTTGTTGTCTTAAAATTTTAAAATTAAAAGTAAAAATTTGTTAAATTTGTTAGAAAAAAAGATTAAAGTATTTATTTTGTTGAATTGATTGCTTTGTAAAAAGCACATTTATTATTATATATTCAAGTAATACAAAATGATTTAAGACAAAATAAGGCATTAGTATTTAAGAATTATAAGGTTCTCAATTTTCTCAATTTTCATGGAAAATTTTTTTCTTTTATTTACATAGTATTTGATGTTCAAAACTAAGTATGTTTATCATATCAATTTTATTATTATTTACATAGTATTTAATGTTCAAAATTATATAAGTTTATTATATCAATTTTATTATTATTATTTACATAGTATTTAATCAATCATCATATATATATTCTGAAAAAATAATTTCATGGATATTTACAAATAGTAATTCTACTAATCTTCAGTAAACACCAAAATACAGATCTTTATATATATATAATTAGGAATAGTTATAAGAATAGTTATGATGATAATAAAAATAATATTTATAGTAATAAACATAAGAACCATAACAACAATAAAAAAACAAACAACAATAACAATTATAATAGTAATTATAATAACAATAATAATCAAAATTATAAGTCACTTGTTTTCATAAACACAATAGCTAAATAAAAAGCGTTAAGTGAAAAAACGTAACAACTAACAAGGACATAATACAGTTATTTAAATTGAAAATAACAAAATAGGAATAACAATAGTAATGTTAAAAGTAATAATAATTGTGGTTTCGATAGATATTTAAAATTAAAAGTAATAATACTATAACAAAAAATATAATAAAAATATGATAAAAATTAAAGATAAAATAAAGAAAAACAAAAACGTATTAAAAAAATGAGAAAGTTCATTATTTTTAGATGCATACACAAACATAAATATAAAGATATATACACATACCTACTCACATGCATAGATACACACATATTTTCACATAAATACACACGTACGCGTACATACACTCATACATATGTATACATACACATATAGATACATATACATATATATTTTTATATACAGCTTTAAAAATATACATTTAAA